TCCGTACGAAGAGACGAAGGCAGTTAGCCCCGTTTCTGCCGCACGAAAGTGGTGCCCTAGCATGCTTGTTTGCTAGTGCTTCGCAGCAACGAAACCCGGAAAAATAATCCCATTTGTCATTATATTCGCGGACGTTAGAAGAACAGCCGGTAACAAGAAATTAAATTTGCCGTGGAACTAAATTTAAGAAATTAACTTCTACCCTGCTTCTTCTGTAAACACGACCAAGACGTTAAATAACGACTAAAAGTGTTGTAGTATTACGAACGTCGAATCGATCATGGGACAAACGAATATTATTGAAAAAAGAAAATAGATCAATGAAAATGGCAATACTATTACTGGAATACTTTTCAAACATCAAACTTTGGCCCATATCGCAACATATTTTTCCATCGTTCACCTACCCGATCTTCGTTAGGTAGATTAGGCTAAACTGGGAAACCCAGAAAGCAGATTTTTTTTTTTCTTAGGCTCATCGACGAGCGATGGATACCAGGTCAATTCCATTTTGTCGCTCAGATTTCTGTCTGCCAACAGATTTTCAGAGGCTATTTTAATGACGTGCTTGCGCCGATTTACATGTTTCGTGGCCGAAGAATCTCTTCGAAGATTGATAACGCTGATTCCCCGCCAGGCAATTATTTACCGATTGACCCGTGAACGTGAACGGCTGGTAGAAACGGGCGCAAGAAAAGTGGGAAAAATTTTTCGAAGCAACGGAACGAGGAGGGAGCGATCGAGAAGGGCGGAGAGAATTCTCGGTGCAGAACAGGCGGACGTGCGCCTCTTTTTCTACTGTCGTGTCGACGAGTGCAACGAACAGAACCTGCGCTATGAGGTGCCGGTGAAAACGCGCAGCCAGCCGGTGCGGTGCATGCGCAATAGGTGTATTGATCCTGGAAAATCTCGAGATGCACGTAACATCATCCAGTGGTCCATTGGCTGTACCGAATGTCATTTCTGCTCTGCGCTCGTCCGGCGTTTCGCGAACGAAACGAGACGCGTCAGTAATGCGAGACCGATCGGTTGATCGTCGCGTTCCCGATCGCCGGTCATCGCACTCTCGTCGCAACCCGAAGCAACGGCGCTAGATTATGATAATCGTGAAACGACCACGAGATCGAGAAATCTCTTGAGGAGAGCGCTCGAGAAGACTGAAGCGAACAGGGATCCCGAGTATGTAACTTTTCATCAAACAAACATTCTCGTAAACATTGCTAGACGATACGGTGGGGTACCATCGATTTTTCTACGAGCTCTTTAAGACTTTCTTTCTTATTAAATTAATAGATAGGATAACGTGAATTCTTTCTCGTATATTTGACAATGCGTCTTTTTGAAACTTAATTACTCGCGTAATTGTAGTTTGAAACACCCGATCGTCTTGAGAAATCTGAAGTGAATTTATGATCAAGTAAATGCTACACGAGCGCGAGTATTTCAAGATAATAAATACTACAAAAACATCGGGTTCTTAATCCGAGACGTTGACACGTCCAATTGTTAAAACACTCGTAGACGAGTAAAAAGTTAATAGAAACAAGCAGTTAACGCAACAGGTTCGCAATACCGCGGAACAACGAAGCGTACGCAAACTAACAAATACCGAATATATACATATATAATTTAGGGGATGAATTAAATTTATACTACTAGCAGATCGTGAGTTTGAGTTGAGTTGTCAGCCGTTTTTTTTTTTTTTTTTTTTTTTTTTTTTTGTCGTACGATCAATTCCCGGATTATAATTGTTTGAAACTTTCATGTGACGAACAGGATGCAAATTGGACTCGAATATTGCAACTAGCCAAGCCAACGATTACTCGAAATGATACTGCAGGCAATCATCTTGATCCTCTCCGCAAGGATATGCTACAGCAATCCCGATGCAAAGAGACTGTACGACGATCTGCTGTCAAATTACAATCGACTGATTCGCCCTGTTTCTAATAACAATGACACCGTAATCGTTAAACTAGGACTTCGTCTGTCCCAACTCATAGATCTCGTACGTGATCCTTTCATGTAATTGATTTCACTTTCAGTTCAAGAAAAAAAAAAAA